ATAACAATACTAACAATAATAACAACAACAACAACAATAATAATAATATTAATAATAATACATCACTTCCCCAGGACCTGGGAGCGATGCCTGAAACCAGCTGAAAATTAAACCAACTGTCAGCATTGCACTCGCTCCGTCTGTCAAAACAGTGCCCGGCTTGCGGCAGCTGGGGCGCGGGGGGTGAAAGGCGCAGTGTCTCACCAAACAACGGCCACTTTCACGCCAAGTGCTGTTGACACAGTGAGAACCCAGTTCCTCTCTAAACACGACACCAATAGGGCTGCTATTCTTCTTGTTTCCTCAGCCCTACTTAACAGCTTTCCCTAAAACACCGATTGCGGGGAGGTGCGCGGGGCTGGGTGTTTATTACAAGGCAATGAAGTCCATGGGAAGGGCACGGGCCTCAGCTTGGGGTAAGCTAAGAGCAAAGTGCAGCCCTGGGGGGCAAACTGAGCGGATGCAAGAAGCAGAGCCAGGTACGCTGGGCATGCATTTGGCCTGAGATGGCTGTAAAGAGAAATAGAAAAGAGAAATGTAGGGTGATGGAGTAGCAGAGAGGTGTAAAGAAAGGGTTTGGTTTTGAGTTTTGGCTGCAAGTGGCATTGGGGGTGCTCTGCCACTTTTACCTGCTTTGCTGCTTTGCTGTGAGGACCTGCAAGTGCTCCGCAGTCACCTCTGTGGAGCAGGAGCGAGCCCACAAGCCCAGTAGCAGACACAGCCGCCCCATCACTGCCAATGGTCTCAGATTTCCCAGCGCAGACCAGAGATGCAGACATCAAATGCATGTTTTTCAAACCAAAGGAGCATCCCATGGGAGCTGTGGTGGCTCTCAGCAGCTCCTGTGGGAGTCACCAGCCACCAAAGGATGCGGCAAGGGATGTCACCGCGTTTTCTCCTAAAATCTGCCCCTGGTGGGATGGCTCTCACCCATCCCAGAGGTCAGGGCAGTCCCGAAATCATTGGGCATTGCTGATCCCCGGTCTCTTACCCACAGCATGAGGCCTGGCACCATCCATCCCTGTGATTTATATTTATATGCAGCTCAGGGCTTGTTTCATGTTTGTGAGGAGCTGGATGCTCTCACAGCACTCTATAAATAACAGAGGATTTGAATTATATGAACAGTTCATTAAAGATGATTTTACGTTAGGCATTCGGGTTCTTTTTCTGCTCAGAAGCTGTAACTTCTGCACATTCTTTAAAAATTACACAGAAATTTTGAACAATTCCTAGAGCGGCAGATTTCTAGCCCAAGCGGGACCATTTGATCCTTTCTCTGTAACACAGGCAGGAGCTCGGTGACTAAACCTGGCAGTGGCTAGGCTGGGGTCCCTGCTCTGACCAGGCTTCTGTAGCCCCCACTGCTCAGATATCCCCATGGTCCCTGGCTGGAGGAAAGTTTAGGACTCTGGGGAAGAATAAACCATCTGCTTTGCTTCAATACTTGTGTTCGTGACTTTGAAATTCACCCTTCATAAAAATTAATGCCAGAAACTCCGCATTGCTCCAATACACAAGTAAAACACTTAAAAGAAGTTTAAAAATATTATGAACAAGAGGCATTTACTCCAACCCTCTAACAAGTAAGTTTCATTTTAATGGGAAAATAAGAGAAATCCCATTAAAAGTAGGATATACCCATGTGTTATCCCATACCTATCCAAAAGACTGAAAGCTCTATCTTTTACAGAGACAGTACAGAAGTAAAGCTCAGCTGCACTTACCCTTACTGACAGCGGACTGGAAACTCTCTTGGCTTTACGTATTTCTAAACCATTCTCTGCCAGCCCAAGTATCCTTATGAGACCAAAGCACTTCCCATGGCAGCAGAGAGGGTAGTGCAGGAGAAGGGAGCGACCCTGCCTGTGAGCAGTGCTGTGCCAGCTCCGTGCGCCCCGAACTGTGGCCAGCTCTGGGTCCCCTCTGCCCAGCGCTGCCCCAGGGGCCACACTGATGGCACCCCAGTCCCAGCATCCCAGTCCCAGTGAGCACCAACACCTCACAGCGATGCACAATCAGTGACTCCTGTTTGTCACAGCCTGGGAACTGGTGCTCTCATCCTCGCCAGCCCCAGGGCAGTCCTGCCTGCAGCAGAAGGATTTATTTAGGAAAGGCTTTAGGTTTCAGTATGTAGTTTTTAAAACACAGTAGACCTCACAGCGAAGTTGGAGCTTTCAAAAGCAGACACCAGTTTAGGATGCCTTGAACACTTCTGTTCCAGGAGCCCTTCTTCCCCAATCTGATTCCGGCCTCTCTTCCCTCTGCCCATGCGAAAACTCCACTGTCGAGTTTTTTGGTTCCCTATTTATGAACCTGCTCCTCAATAATTAAATGATAAAGTCTCATTACTGCTTTCCTTGACTGCCTGACCCATAACATCGGCAAAAAAGAGAAAAAAAATCAATACAGACTCTCCAAAACACATGAACTCAAACTCTGCCAGGCCCCAGGGAAAATAAAATAAGTGTGAGACTCCAGTTCCAAATAAATAAATAGGTAAAATAAGCGAACAAAGTTTCCATAGCTTACACCTGCTGTCAGCACAGGAGCCAGCCCCCGGGGCATCCCCCCACCGTGGCACTGCCTGCAGACCCCTGGGGCCCTGAGTTCAAACAGAAAATCTATCTTTAATGACTTTGGGGAGTGCAGTAGGGATGCCAACTAGTTCAATGTAATTAAAGCTATCTATCACCCAGTGACCAGGAGCCCAAAGTTGATGAACTTTCCAATGAGATTTTATTCTTCCCTCCATTGATGAGAAAACACCACTTTGTGCTGCTGCTGCAGGAGACATGAAGAAGTGTGGGAAGGAGCAAGGAGGACTCATCAGTCCAGCCATTAACATGTCAGGGTGATGGGGATGGGGAAAATAAAGTCAAGCTTCGTCAGAGGCTGGTGAAAAGTTTGACAGAGTCTTCTTCCCACTCTTCCTCCTCCCTGTGCCTTCATGCAAAACTGTTCAAATCCAGAGTCCTGTGATTTCTGCCAAGGGAAGAAATCAGCATGTGGGGCTAAGGGCACTTGTGGCTTTGGTGAATGAGATCTGTGGGCCCAATCTGCTCCATGCTGTATGGAAAGTCCAACCTGAAAATGATTTATTCCCCACTCAAGCAGAGCTGATGGAGATCTTGGACACACCAAGGCTGATGCCAGCAGCATTGATGCTCCAGCAATGAGTAGAATGTAGGCAGTCCATCGCATGGGGATGCAGGCAATGCATCGCATGAAGCAGCAGCCAGGACACAAGAAAGAATGCAAAAGGGAGCATTTTAACCAAAAAGCATTGGGGAACATCCCCAAAGTGCTGCCAAG